GAATTTAATTATTCCAATTCCCAATCAATTAAAACTCGCAATCTAAATCATCAAGCACTTACGAAAGTGATTTAGATTGTTGTTTTCGAAAAATAATAAATCGACACAAACGATTTTTACATGGAAAAACCATAATTGAAGCACCTTCAATTGTGATAAAAAAACCACAGGTGAAACACTACTAATCAATCCACTACTGAAGAAAGAAAGATTACAAAGATAACAAACAAATTACCCAAACGCTTTTAATTTGTCTTCAAATCTTCGGTATATCTTTCACCGTAACCTTCGTCTCAGAATTGATTAGATTGAAGTTGAATCCATAACTTCTATTGTTGAATCAACGACCACGCACAGTATCAAACTCCTTCGACCCTCCATGCTTGAATCTCCGGATTTCACCGAAGAAGAACACTCTTGAATATGAACAATCAACCTCCTTAATGTGTGCTTATCAAAACATGAGTTTAATACTCAATCAAAACATCAAGGAGAACGAGCAAACAACACCAAAAAAAAACCCCAAAAGCCTTAAAGAAGATCTCCAAAACGTAATCCTGCATTTGGACTTAAACCAGTACTTATAGAAAACAGGGGCAGCAAAGCTCGTTGGAGCGAAGACTCTCTCGCTCGAGCGAGGAACCAAATACGCGTGCTTTTCTTAAGTGGCTTCGCTCGAGCCACGCTACCTGTGCTCGAGCACACAATCTTCCTTCACAGGTTTTTGGCAGACAGAAGCAGTCTTCGCTCGAGCGAGAACTCCTTCGCTCGAGTGAGCAAGACAACAAACTTAGGAAAATTACGACTCGATAAAACATGTTTGTTCACGGGATTGACAAGACTAAGTGACCTAACAAACTAAATTTTATCTGTTTAAAGTTACACAATGAAATTATTCATTTCCCATTATCATAATTACACATATAAATCTCATCATAATCATTTCACATAAATCAAATAAAAATCGGCTCCATTACCATGCCGCATCACCGCACCACACACTTTTTTAGGCACCACTCTAGAAGGAATGCAAAACCTCTGTTAAGCGCCACGCTTTACCGATCACGAGTCAGAAGGAATACAGAACCTCACACTTTACCAGTCACTAGCCGGAAGGAAAGTGGAACCTCAACATATCTCAACAGACCACACGCTTTACAAGGCACTACTCCAGAAGGAAGGCGGAACCTCTATTAACTACCACGCTTTACAGGTCACAAGCCGGAAGGATACGAACCATAATTCCAATATCACCATCCATCATTTCATCATCTTGTTCCTTGTTACGATTCCAATGAAGCCAACAACACCGTTCATTGCTTCCATGACACATTAATATAACAACACATCCACCATAAACAAAAAGATTATCTTTATAGGCAATTATAATTCATGTGTTCTAGTCCTTTCTTTACTGCACTTAATCATCAAATCCTAATATTCAATTGTACAACACAATAATTCGTATAGCTTATCCAAGATTTAGTGATTTAATTACCAACATTAATTTCTTTTAACATAACCCTTGTATAAAACAATCAATTTCCACAACCACTAATTATCATTATTTACACCCATCTTAAAAAACATGAACTAAATTTCATGAATCTAAAGTTAATTGAAACATTCTTTATTTCGAAAATAAATTGCACAACTAGGGTTATGCATAAATTAGGGCTTTTTACTTAAAAGCTTAAAATCTTGTTCTAACCACTTAAAACTTCCTTAATCCACCTCAATTTGTCATTTAATATCTCTATTTTGGAAACCCAAACTTCCTTTACATGCTTTGTGAAAATCTCCTCAATATGAGGTTTTTATGCAATAGAAATCTACTACCCGTCCATCTATAAGAAAATATTGATGAGAAGTAAGGAAAATCCCTACCTTAAGCAAGAAGACGAAGAACTCAAAATTTTCACTTCAACGAGAATACAATCCGCTTAGATGGACAGAAAGCAATCGACGTGCTCTTTATTTTTATATAAGGAACACGGGGTAGAAAATGAAATAAAATAGATGAAACCCAAGCTTGAAAGCTTGAAACCCATAGCAATGGTGGAAAAGAAGAAGAAGAGAAAGAAGAAGCAAAAGAGAATAAAGAAAAGTGAAGCAAAAGTGACTTTTAAATGTGCTGAATTTGGACACTTTGCTCAAGCGACCAATACATCACTCGAGTGAACAATACGAACTCCCAGGAGTTCACACCAAATAAGGTAGACGGCTCGAGCGAACATCGACAACTCTCAGAATCTCAGACCTGCAAAAGTACTGGGAATTTCACAAGACTGCTCAAGCGACCAGTCCATCACTTGAGCGATGAGCAAAAGAAAAATAAATTCTGGAGTGTTACAATCTCCCCACCTTAAGAAATTTCATCCCCAAAATTAGGGAAGAACTGAAAAGAAAGGCAATCTAATACAGACGGAAAAACAACTCCTAACTTAACATATTTGGGATATATTCCCGAAATAAAGTAAGTCAAAACAAAAGCTACTCAATCCTAGGGGTAAGACATCACCACCAACCAAAAGCTAGACTCATACTCGAGATAAGTTGTTGAATTCTAGTTTAGTACCTCGGTGTGCCAAAGAGACCCAAACAAGAAGAAATACAGGGAAAAGATCACAAATGTTGCTTCGACCTACATACTCATTGAGGTCCGAGAGACAAGGGACAACAACAACTCCTCAACGAACCACCACGCACACAACGACCACCGAATGACCAAAACTCAAACTTAGACCACCACAAACCAAAACCCAGTTAAAACACTACAACAAAAATAGTCTTTAGAGATGAAAACTAATAATGAAAATAAATTTTGTCACGAAATACGTATCTTTTAATGACGAAAATAGTATTTCGTCTCCAAATGTACCATTTTTAGAGACAAAAATAAAATTTTGTCACCAATCTAAATCATAATAAAAAAAATTATATGACGAAATTATTTTTCGTCATTGTTTATATTTTTTTTGTCACCGAAGATTTTCTCGCTAATTTTTTCGGATGGTGCCAAAATTTTGAGACTTTTGGTGACGAAAAAATTGATCACCAATTATAAAATTATTAATGATGAATATACTCTTGTCACCAGTAATTTTAAATATTTTAATATCATTTAGTGACAAAACTATTTTTGTGGCCAATATTTTTATCTTTCGTGAAGAAATAATTTTGTCACCAATAAATAATTTAGTCGCTAAATATTTTATGGGGGAAATGAAAATGTATTGGCACCTATAGAAGCAAATAGAAAGCAATCGGTTCTTCTTCTTCTGAAACAAGCACAATAATTTCTCCATCAAACCTGATTTCACACACACACACACACACACACACACACACCTTATACTCGTTCACACACAAAGTTTCCTTACCGCCGCTGCTACCATTTCATCAACTCACCGCCGTTGCTACCATTTTATCGACTCACCGCCAACAGCCTTTCCTCACCGCCGCCATTGGTTTCTCCTTCCCTTGCTGCCGATTGTTAGCCCATCCTTTCCTCACCGCCACTGTGCCGATCGGCTCACTACCACTGTGCCGATCGGCTCACTACCGCCGCTGTTAGTCTCTCTCTCTCTCTCTCTCTTGATGCTCCCTCTGTCTAATATTTTCTTTCTCTGATGTATATGCTTTGTATACATATAATATATATATATATATATCTTCTGCAGCCGATTTCACCACTTCTCAATTTTTTCTTTTTCGGTTGATCCCCACCTTTTATTCCTCAGTTTCTTTCTCATTGGTTGCAGATTTTTTTTACATATACAACCTGTGATTTTTCTATTGTTGTTTCTTTTGCCATACAACTATTCTTCAATCCCATTCAGCCTTTTGACTTCAATTTCAATCCCATCTGCTGCATATATATATATATAGGCTGCATATTTTAGGCCTTTTGACAATGGCAGTTCATTACATGTATTAGAGGCCATGCCTCTTTGGTCCTTGTAGTAGTAGTAGTAATAGTAATTTTATCAACTATGAACGGTTTGAACCATTTTGCATAATTCTTGTGATTGGTGTTTGATGTTTATTTTATACCCACATTGCTTGCGAAGTACTTGTATTGAAAATCAAAATGTGTTGCAATGTAAAATATTATTAAAGATGAAGTGAAGTCATATGCCTAACACCAAATGGTTTGAAACAAGATTGTAGAACTCGATTCAACAAGTGGAAACAGAATTATATCATTATGGTTTAAATCGTGGGATCGCCATAATGAGGAAGGGAATTATATAATCATGGTTTAAATCATGGGATCATCACCATGAGGAAGGGATTATTCTTGTACACGGCCCTCTAAAGATAAGTCCACATAATTTAATGTCAAATGCCATAAAAGAAATATTTTGGCCTAATTAATTTTAGGTAAGATGGCTTCGTATGAAGATTGGCATATTAGTCATACTCTTAATCATTAACTATAAAAGGAGGATATATATCATATGCAAATTATGTCATTTGTAAGTTTGATTATAACAAATAACATAACTCAATACTATAAGGATCGTAACTTAAAAGAAAAAGAAGAAGTTATAATTAAACATCACATGAGGTATAGCTAAGAACTTTTGTTAGAATGTTATGTTCAGAAGTGGCTGTCATTTTTGGTTTTGTTTTTGTGGGATTTCTGTTCTGGTTAGAAGGGACCTAGGTTAGTAGGTGCAACATCAGTAGCCTTCAGTGTGGGAGTTCTGCTGGTGGAGTATTTTGGTGTTATAATGGTGGAGTATTTTGCTTTTGTATTGCAGTAGGAATGGTGTTAGAATGGTGGTGTGAGAATGTTAAAATCAATAATGACCATTTTTATTAGTTTTTATTCCTTACTTGCATATAACCTTAGAACTTGTATAAGAATCTTCGTTAAAGATCTAGACATATATTTGGTGAAGTTTGTATTGAATTTTTCAATTTAATTAGTTCATAAATACACAAGTCTACATTATACTATATTGTTCCTAATCTTTCATTTGTGATCAGACATGGATAAAAGTTGGATTGCCCTAGGTAGGATGGCTGATGGAAGGATGAGTAAACTATCTAATGATGGGGTCAAGTTATTTCTTCAATTTGCAATAGGGGTTATAGACCAGAATGGAAATCTGTTGTGCCCATGTATAAAGTGTGTGAATGTTTATAGACAAAATCTTCAAAATGTGGAAATTCATTTGCTCCAATATGGGATTATGCAAACTTACACTATATGGCACCAGCATAGGGAACCCCGTGTTTCAAACGAGGCTTACCGTGATGATGAGATGCGAGTTGATGGTGATGAAATTGTAGGTGGTATTGAAGCCTTAGTGGAAGATCGAATAAGAGGGGAATCGACTGATACAACCCAAGGGGAGGAAGTGAGAACTTTTGATCAATTGTTGACTGATGCCAAGCGTGAGCTGTTCCCAAATTGTACAAATTATACCTTGTTGAAGTTTGTGATTGAGGTGCTTAATATGAAGGTAACAAATCATTGGACCAATAAGTCAATTGATATGATGCTAGAGTTTTTAAGTAGACTTTTACCGAAAGAAAATTTGGTTCCAAAGTCAACTTATGAAGCTAAGAAAATACTACGTGACTTGGGCTTGTCATATGAGCTCATCCATGCTTGCATAAATGATTGTGTATTATTTTGGAAGGAGAATGCAACACTAGATAAATGTCCGACTTGTAAGACATCTAGATACAAGATTAGTCATGGAAGGGGTAAGAAGATCCCTCATAAAGTATTGAGGTACTTTCCTTTGACACCAAGGTTGAAAAGATTGTACATGTCAAGAAAGAGGGCTGAGGACATGATATGGTACAAAGACAAACGAGTGGATGACGAGATATTGAGGCATCCCGCTGACAGTGATGAATGGAAGGAATTTGATGCACAACATCCCGAGTTTTCCTTGGAGCCTCGAAATGTGAGGCTAGGGTTTGCCGTTGATGGGTTTAACCCTTTTGGGAACATGAAAAACTCTTATCGTTTGTGGCCCGTCATACTCATTCCATACAACTTGCCACCTTGGTTGGTTATGAAGGATCCATTTTGTTTGATGTCATTACTTATTCTTGGAGAATCGCAACCAGGGATTGATATTGACGTCTACATGCGACCATTGGTGGATGAGTTGAATGATTTATGGACAAATGGTGCATTGACTTACGACGCCTCCACCAATGAGACTTTTCGAATGCATGCAGCTTTGTTGTAGACAATACATGATTGGCCTGCATTTGGTGACATATCTGGGTAGAGAACAAAGGGTCATTATTCTTGTTACACTTGCAATGATGAACCGTATTTTGAATCTTTGAGAAGTAAGATAGGGTACACTAACCATCGATGTTACTTGCCTGAGGACCACCCAGAAAGGCGAAAGAGTAGGGCTTACAATGGTAAGATTGAGAAACGGAAGAGATCTTTGGAGTTGCCGGTGGAAAAGATACAACACCAGTTGGACAACGTGGCAGGTGTCATATATGGAAAGCAACCAAGTAATAGAAAAAGGCCCCGTCAAGCACCTAATTGGACAAAGGTAAGTATCTTGTATGAGTTACCCTATTGGAAGAAATGAAAACTTCGACACAACATTGATGTCATGCATGTGGAGAAAAATTTTAGTGAAAATGTTTTCGGAACTATGTTAGGCATTGATGGAAAGAACAAGGACACAGACAAGGCATAGTTAGACTTGGAAGATATGAGTATAAGGAAAGAGCTATGGCTAACACAATGGCACGATGGATCATATGTCAAGCCTCGAGCAATCTTTTCATTGACACCTGCAGAGATGGAGGGTTTCTTTGAATTTTAAAAACTGTCAAATATCCAGATGGGTATGCGGCAAACATATCCAAATCAGTGAATGCAAGAAATGGTAGACTAACAGGCCTAAAAAGCCACGACTGCCATGTACTTATACCAAGAATTCTTCTCATTGGAATGCGTGGTTACGTGGATAAAGAAATTAGCACAACACTTTTTGAGTTAGGCAATTTCTTCCAAGACCTATGCTCTAGGACACTAAGGCGGAGCGAACTGGAGAAATTAGAGGACGTATAATAAACATTTTATGCAAGCTTGAAAAGATCTTTCCTCCAGCCTTCTTTGATGTGATAATCCACTTGGCTGTTCATTTGCCTCGTAAGGCTACTCTTGGAGGACCCGTACAATATCGATGGATATACCCAATTGAAAGGTATTTTTTACACTTATACTTGTAAATGAGGTTTGCATAAGTGTGTTGCATATGTAATTATACTCCTAATTCGTTCTCTCCTGAAGGTTTCTTGGAGCATTAAAAAAATATGTGACCAACCGAGCTCGACCAAAAGGTTCAATTGTCGAGGCTTACATTGTCAAAGAGTGCATTACTTGTTGTTCAATCTATGTTGATGGGATTGAAACCGTGCATAATCGACCAGAACGGAATGAAAATCGCGGTGAACGTCAACAAGGGTTGACAGTATTCAAAGAAACTGCACGTCCAATTGGTCTAATCACACGAGATGCTGAAATGTCTCAAGAAATTCGTGATATTGCTCATTGGTTTGTGTTGTACAGCAGCGTAGAGATTGAAAAGTATTTGGAGTATGTGTTTCATTGAATTATGTTTATGCATAGCTTTTTTATTTGCGGAACTACGTAGTAATCACTTTTTTTTTTTTTTTTTTTTTTTTTTTGAGTAGGGAACACAAAAATCTATTACAAACTGAAGATGGACATGACATAACCCACATACAACGACAAGAATTTCCCAGGTGGTTCAAAGAGAGGGTAAAACGTCGTCATTCATAAATTATTTACTTATTATTTTATAAAATTAAAGTTTTATAAAATGTCGTCATTCATAAATTATTTACTTATTGTTTGTTACATGTAATTGTAGATAAATAGATAGAGAATGGAAGAGCCATTAGAGGCAACTGATGAATTGTGGTCATTTGAAAATGGTCCTAATTTGCTCGTGAAAGAGTACTCAGGTTGCATAATCAATAGCAGCCGGTGCCATACTCAAGATCTAGACAACCACTGTACGAGTCAGAATAGTGGTGTGTTTACACACGGGGATCATGAAGGAAAATTGCATGACTTCTACGGTCACTTGTGCAAGGTCTTGGAATTTGACTACATATGTGGTAAAAAGGTTGTTTTGTTTGAGTGTGAATGGTACAACACCAGTAACACTGGTAGAAATAGAAAAATATGATTTGAAACATATTGCACAAGCATTGACGTCACAAGTCGGTAGTACCAATCTGACCCATTTATCCTACCTAGTCAAGCAAAGCAAGTATTCTATCTGAATGATACCAAATTAGGTGAACCTTGGAATGTCGTACAAAGGGTGCAACATAGGGGTGCCTTTAATGTTCCAGACACTAGTGATGGAGAATTATTGGATCCTTCAGAAAATAATGATGTGTTCCAACAAGAAAATATTACTGATGTTGTTCCAATTGACATTGACCCAATTGTTCGATACTGTACGAATGATGTTGATTTCTATGTTACTTCGGAAGAAGGGTCATTAGATGAGATAATGGAAGAGAATAGAGATGATGAAGGAGATGAAGAACATAACATTCCTGATGTTGATATGGATCCTGATATGGATTATGATATGTAATTTTTAGTATATTACTATATTTTCGAACAGATGTTATTAATTAATGTAATTTTTATTTTATATGTTTATGTTACTTTCTTTTTCTTCTTTTATGCAATGGTGCATGATGACATTGTCAATATTTTTCAATTAAAGTTGAATTATGTTATATAGTTGTAGAAAATGGTCTGAGGCAAAAAAACAATGGCTGAAACTAGGTGATTTGAGAACTAAGAAGCTAACAGAATACGAGAAACAAAGAAATAAGCGAATCAAGGAGAACTCTGGGAGGTAATGAACAATCTTGGAGTAAAGAATATTACAAATTCTTTAGTGAGTGTGGTTCAGCCCAAATGTGCAAATGCAAGGGAAAAGGGAATTAGGGTTAAGGTAGGTGATGATGTTGAGTATAACCCTTTAGAGAGTGAGGATGACAATGATGAAGAGTCATTGGGTTCCTTTGATCGCAAGGTATTATACACATTATTTTATATTTGTGTGACAACATGTATTTTACTATTTACATTTCTTCTTCACATATCTTACACATCATGTCTTTTTTAAAATATATTTTAACGGTTTCAAATATCATTTTTACTATTTGATTATGTTCTTTCAGGAACAAGAGATGGCACCAGGACTCCGTTTATGGTCTCATTCAAGGCCATTAACTCCCACCCAAAGGAAATGATGGATCCCCCAAGTCAGGAGGTCAGTACCCAACCCTTACCACATCATAATGTACAACCTGAGGACGAAGTGACTGCATCTAGCATCGTTGGTAAATTTGCAAAGTTGTTTTTAAGGTTTAACTTGAATTTGTTTACTTGCTAACTCAATTAATATTATGTCCTTATAGCATCACATGACAGACATGGTCGTGGTCCGACACGCGGTATACAGGCCCATCGCATTGTTAAGAAGGATGGAAAGATGTTAGTTCCTATACCTGAACTGTAATAACCCGACCCTCGTACATGTTTTCTGGTATACTTTCAATCCCCTATTCTGTGCATTTATATGTTTATTGTGAAATTTCATGTGAAATGAAGTTTAATTAAGTGAATCTTATGAATATAGACTCATATCTGTCTAGTAGGAGAAGTATCTGTTACACTTATAATGTTTGGATCATAAATTGAAAGCCATAGAAGCTTAATAATCTGAAATTGAATTTATATTTAAGATCAGCATGATTTTTAGGTCATAATATGATTTTCTATGAAATTTTGATTTGGAGCGATTAAACTGATTGAATTTCATCTTTATTCACCTTTTATATTTATATCTATGTTCTTCAAACATTTGATTGAGAGCCATTACACAAATATCTGTTGAGAGAGAATTTGAAGAGGCGAATTAGAGAGAAAGAGGGGTGGTTCAACAAGGAGGAAGATTGAAGGATTTGAGTGGGTTTATGGAAATTCAAGCTCAAGGTGTGTAAACTTCACCTTAAATAAACTCTTTCTTGGATTTGAGTAAACATGCCCTTCCATTTGGGTGAGCTAGGGTTTAGGTTTGAAGTGTTGTATGTGATCATTGTTTAATTGGAAGTTGTATTTACCATATAGTTGTCTTGGGAACTAATTTGAACTATATGAAGAAATTGCATCTTGCTTCCTTGTTATTTCATGTCGGAACTCATTTATGTATTGGATAATGTGATTAGATGGCTATATATATGTGTATATGTTTAAGTGAACTCAAAAATAATTAGAACTTCGGAGGGAGTGAATTGTGTATATAGATTTGAGAGCAATGAAGGCTTGATTGAACTTGTGATCTATATTTATGTGATGTTGAGCCATTATATTGCATCAATTTCCCCTTATTTTATGCTTTGTATTAAGTTTGCCAAGTTGAAAAGTTTCTCGAATTTCGGACTACAAAATAGGGGAAATCGCCGCACGTGCGGGGGTCATGGCCGCATGTACGGGGACACTGCCACACGTGCAGAAAACAGAGCAATTTGGGTCTTTGGCTACTGGAAAAAAGGCACGTGTGGGAGCCACTACCGCACGTGCGTGGCTCACAGCCGCACGTGCGACCCATGCTAGAAATTTTTGTCTGCTCCGTTTTACGTGCTTGACCCTCTAATATTACTGAAATCTGCATTTGATGGATTTAAATGTTTGTAAATTCGTTTGAAGCGAAACAAATCAGAAAATGATTTAAAAAGGAAAAGGGACTAATTTGTGAATTGTGCATGTGTGTAAGGCACAATCCGGGAGGAACTAACGCTCCACTACAGCACAGAGAGTACTAGTACCGCAGTTGTACCTTTACGTACCGTTAATAATTATTATTAACGCTCTGTTCTTTGCGAGTTAGTTACGTTAACATTTATAAATGATTGGAAAATCTATGTACATTGGTACGACTCTGGAATCACTCTGCTCTGTTGATATCTGGGCCTAAGGCCAATCTGTACAATTTGTTGGGCCTAAGGCCAATCTGTAAAATCTGTTAGGCCTAAGGCCGTTCTATATGTTACTGGGCTTGAAGCCACTCCATTTAAGACTGGGCCCTAGGCCATTCCGGAAATAGTTACAGAATAAGATTGATCATACGTTCTCTGCGTTTATACACATTATACATCAAGTTAATCGTTACATTGTTTAAGTACTATTATTCACTGAGCTTCGCTCATTCTGTTTTATGTCTGTCTCTGTAGGTACTCAATCCGGATGTCAGTCTTAGTCCGGCCTGGACCACTTGTCTTTTGCTCATTTCACCATGACCAAACATTTAGACGAAGCTCATATATTTTTGTGAACTCCTTGCAGAGCTTTAGCGTGGTTCACTAAATCTTTTGTCTGATGTTTTAAAACATGATTAACTTCCTCCAACATAGTTTTGTTACATCCTCAGCCTCGGGAATGGGTCTGTATATTTGTATATCAATACAATTAGATGTGTGTTTTGTATACGTTAAACTACCTGATATTAAATATATGATCTTGGCATGTTAGTATTAGCTCAATGGATGTTATTTTGTATTGTTAAATGCTTCCGTTCAGGCCCCATATGTTATACATATTGAATTTGATGTCCGTTTCTGAAGTGATCATGCCCAAACTCTTAGGGGCGAGTTTGGGGCGTGGCAAGTGGCATCAGAGCACGAGTTGCTATCTCACACATGGATCCATTGAGCCTTAGGATTTCTAGAAAGGATTTAGGCATCATGCATAATATTCTGAATACATATGGAAAGATCGATGGCAACATTAAATGTAATCTGTTAACGCTAATGATTATGATCCATGCCTATTGTATATTCCTTGTGTATATGGTAATGGATTGTCATGTAGAATATGGTGAGAACGAGAACAGAAGACCCGGAAGACGCCACTTCTGCACGGTTGGATAGAATGGAAAGAATGATTGTGGAAATGGCAGAGACTCTACGACAACAACAGCAACAGCCACAACCACAATCGCCACCGCCACCGCCATCGGTACCTCCGCCTGTGGTACAAGATTTCCATGCTGAGACCGGACTATTACACTCACGAGGGAATTTAAGAACATGAAGTGACCATCACACCATCATTCAAAGGGGGAATAGAGCCAATGAAAGCTGAAGCATGAGTATTGAGAATAGAAAAATTGTTTGAAGTTTTCCTTTGTACCGAAGCCCAAAAAGTGCAACTTGTTGCCTTCACTCTTGAAGATGAAGCACGGAGGTGGTAGATGCTTACGAGAACTGTGCACCAAGGATTAACGTAGGACAAATTTTTGGAATTATTTTATGACAAGTACTTTCCTCAAAGTATGCGAGACAAGAAGGTGACAGAATTTGAAACTCTTAGACAAGGAAATAAGACCGTTGTAGAGTATGAAGCTCAATTTGCAGAACTAGCCCAATTTGCACCTCATATGGTGGACACAGATTACAAGAAGGCGCGAAAATTTGAGGGGGGACTTCGAACTGGTATCCTTGACTGAGTCAATATGTTGAAGTTACCCACCTATGTTGATGTGTTGGAGAGGGCTGT